AGCAAGACAAGAGTTCAGCCCTCTGTTACCTTTTGGCAGTACGTACGCACGCACGCAAGCAAGGTGTAGAGAGACTCGAACAGCCAAGAGATGCAGAGGAGTTTGCCAGCAGAAAACACAGTTTGCCCCAGCAGTTACAGCCTCCAGACACGAACCCACAGCAGTTGGCAAGCACCATCAACGCTCTAGCTCTTCTCTACGTGGTCCACTCCAAAGGAAACTTCTAACCCTGGCAGAGGTCCTTGACCTAGCAAGAAAACACCCCACACTTTGGCAAAGGCAGGGGAAACCACCCAACAAGTGGAGTATCCATTGGAGGAGTCGTTTAGAAGGTAAGAGGTAGTAAAATACAGATTACGGAGAGGAGACGCACACGCAGAACATAACCAGTCCACAGAGCAGCAGTGGCACATGGAGGGAAGCCTTCCTGCTCCACAGGAAGAGGTCTTTGAGGCAGATAGAAAACAATCAACAGCGTAACACTTTTCTTCACTCATATTTATTAGCCAAAACTGGAAGACATTCTTGTGACTACAGAGAGGAATAATTGTCTGTCAGCTTCCCCATTCACTAAACATTTTGTATAACAGTGTAAGGACTGTACCTGTAGTGCCTACCCCTCAGCTGTACATGAAACACAGATGTGCTGCAACATGATCGCCCCCCCCCCCCCAAAAAAAAAAAAAAAAAAAAACCCAGAAGAAAAGCACCAGACCATGAAGCTGGGCAAAACCTTTTTGGGGAACAAATTTATTAGCCCGATTGAAAAAGCCCAGCAGTTGAAGCGAAGGTTAGTTACGTGAAATATTATTAAATTGGAAAGACGTGTGGCACAAATTCAAGGTAAGGGAACAGATAAGAGGAGCAGGTACTGCGGAGCACAAAGCCAGGCAGTCACTGTCACCGCAGGCCAGAACGGTCTCAGTGGTATCTGCCACAGCACACTGCAAGCAAGAGCATTTTAAGTCTTGTTTTTCACTCAACACCATACTGATAAGGAAAGGTATAGGAATCAAATTCATCTGGAATTCATGTTCATCTCAAGGCACCACAGTTCAAGAACATATACAAAGAGGAGTTCAGAGGAGAGCAGTGGTAAGAAGTTTTGAAAACATGGTTAATAAGAAGTTTAAGTACACAGTTCACACAGTATTTAAAAAAATAGGGAGGAGACACACAAAGCTTGAAATAAGCCTCCCTATGCGTTACTAGTCATAATAAAGAAAATGGTGATCAACTCTTTTCATGCTCACTGCCTTAATTTGCAACAAGACAAACACTGATTATGTATTAGGAATAACCAGAGAGCTACCAAGGCACTCCAATAAGCTCTCAAATAGTTTCCATAGCCACTGCAGAGGTTTAAGAGCAGATTAGACAAGCCTGGCAGGAGTGGTTTTATGTAGGTGATGCTACTTCAGCAAAGGTGAGGGACCACGCAGCTTCACGAAGCCCCTCCTGGCCATGCACCCCTGTGATTCACACCTGGGGAACAGATACTGAACAGCAAGGAGGAGAAACACATTGAAACACCCACCTTATCTCATCCAATCTAGACTCAAAACAGAAATTCCAAGTTCTGTCCTCTCAAAGGGATACATACAAGTAATTATACAAAGCCAATTATGTTAGAAAGGATTTACAAATCAACACTTCAAAATCTGCTGCCCCACCACATAGGGCAGGCTCGCTGTCCCAAGGGAGGGTGATCCCAGAGGAAACACCCAAGGCTGTCCCAGCCTTCGCCGGTGGCTCAGCACCGCTCAAGCTCTGCACCCCCTTCGTGTCACCATTTCAACCACCTCGTGCTTACCCCTCTACATCCCAACACCTGCACACACTTCTGAAAGAGCGTGGTCCCGCCAACACAACGCACAATAAAACAAGAATAGCCACGGGAACCGTTATGTTTGACCCAGCCCTACGCATCCATTGCCTTCCGGCACAAATACTACCGCTCACACGGCCAGCTACAAATGTGTTTTAACTTTTAGTGGAACAACGTAGCGTGTCGTACAGAACCAAAGAGCACCAAATATTGCAGCGTGTCCCCCTCCAGGTGCAGCAATGGCTACAGATTATTTCAGCACAATAAATAACACCCATAGCACTAACACACAAGCCCTGAAAACCTGCGCTGGTCCCCAGGACATCTAACTACGAATCAGTTCCGTTGTACAGATGATAACCATTTCTCTTCCTCTTCCACCTGCACAGAAACTTTAGCCAGATGAATCTTGGTAGCTACTATTTATTGTAAGCTTAAAATTATTGCTTAAAAATCTAAAGAGCCATAAAATGAGGCTGCTGTGCAATCAAAATCACAACTGCTCCTACTATCACAACAGAGCAACGCAGAGTTTGTTGATTATTCAGGCAGAGTAACATAGACTAGACAGAAAATTCAGCCTCAAAACGTGCCCCATTTGATTTATCATGATCTTGGTGCTTTCTACGGTAAGGAGAGATCCACTTATGCAGCCAGAAGTCTGTGTTTGATTGCAGGGATTCGGGGATGTGAAAATCCGACACGGAGAGTTAATGCACCACAGGCGGGGGCGGGCAGAGCCGGAGGCTCCCAGCACAGCAGCTCTCCGCTCCACCTGCACCCGCTGTACGCTCTTACCCTAACACGGGCAGAGGAAAGTCAGACACCAAACGAGATGAAGAGAATGACCCCTAAAGGCATCACCTGGACAGAATCATCCTGCAATCACCTCTTAATCTTAATGCACTCCGGAGAACTACTGGTGATCTAAAATTATTCGACATGCATTTAAGGACTTGATGAGAATGGCTTCAGCAGGTCAAGAGCTTTCTGAAATTCTTAAATATTATGTTACCCATCACACGGAAGATCTACCCAGAGCTGTTAACACCGAGCAGTTGATATCTGAATGTAACACTCTGTGTACTGATGTCACCACAATGTAGACATTTCACTCTTTTCTTGAAAAATAAAAACACCCATCGTTGTACTGGTGTACTTTTAAATGCAGCAGGCCAACTTTTTTCAAAATGCTAGAGAAGCATCTCAGCCGATCCCTTAAATGATAACGGAGAGTAAGGGAATGGCCTATCGAATACATTGCATGGTGGAAGTTATTAATTCTTCCCACTGAAATGCAACATGCTTGCATGACTGCTCACGAGAATTTAAGCACGGCATGCTTGTCCACAAAACCTGAGAAAAATAGTCTTACAAATTGGGCAAGTTTTAAATACCAAGTTTGGAGAGCAGTCACTGTGTCCTTCCAACAGCAGTCACCGATACCAAATTTCTGCCAGCACATACCACAGGGAAGTTTTATGGATATATATAAAAAAAAAAAAGCAATCTACCCATCTCCTAGGATTATTGCTCACCAAATTCTAGATAAAATGCTGCTGCCAGTCACCCATTTCCAAATACCTCCACTGTCTGAAGCCTGTGCAGGTCCTCAGGAGAATACACCCTGTTGGGGAAAGCAGTGACCCCCCCGACAATCAGTCGAGAATGCTCGGCCATTCCATGCAGCAGCACAATCATTAGCAGCTACTTAGAAACAAAATGAGTTTTCTACCTTTGGCTGGGGAAAAAAAAAAAATCTTCCCCCAGACTGCTGTAAGAAAACCACCTTTCATCTCCGAGCTCCCAAATTGGAGGGCTTCTTTAAGACCAGCTCCACTCCAGAGCCAGTCACCCAGCGTGATGGTGACAGGACAAAAGAACCCGGTACCCCATCAGCATTTTATTGATATTTAAACACAGCACACTCAGGAAGCTGCGACCTGACCTGACTCTAGTTATTTCTACCCTAGTAGCAAAAAAACTTCATGATTTCCACTTAAGACCCACTGAGGCTTAAGCCCCTTGGCAGCCGTCAAACAGTCCAGTGCAAAAAAAGACTACACAGAGTCAAAACCCAAAGCTCATACTTTGATCGACTGGAACTCTTCCAACACAACAACAGAGACCGTGTTTTCATGACGCAGTCAGATCCTCACCTAGTGCACTCACCCCAGAAGCACCCAAGCCGCGGGCACCCCACCTTTGCAAATACCTTTGAAACATCCCTTCTTGCATCTTCTTCTCTTCCATCTATGCTCAACGCTACTCAAGAATCAACTGTAGTTCCTCCAAGGATAAACTATAATATCGAGGTATACATTTTGCTAGAGCTTTCAGGCTGATAACATATACAAACATAAAAATCCCTTGTTCCTTCCCATGTAATTAATTTACACAGCTCCAGTGTTAGTTATGGACCATGCTACCCAGCTCAAAGAGCTCTGCTTAAGCGACAGCTCCAGTTACAGACGCTCAGAGCTGGCTGTAGATGCGCTGGAAGTTTGTTCGCTGAAGTTATGAATGTGCATCACCACCCTGGGAAAAACCCGTGCTCCTCTACCTTCCAAAGTTCTACACTCCTTAAAAGGAAAAAATCAATCCATTTAGACCCGCAGTATAATCACAATACTCTGCAAGCTCCGTGAAAACAGTATATGAGAAAGCAGCTCCACAAAAGTGCTGGCTGTCATTCTTCGACAAGACTTCCACCTCTGCACGATCATCTCTACAGCAGAAAGTTTCAAAATACACCCAGTTGAGTATGTTGCTGAATACTACAGACAGACTTGGACGTAGGATTCCTCTCCTCCCCAGCTGCTATGTTAGAAAACCACTTTGTTCAGTAAAACAGAACTAATTACGTTTTACTTCCAGGACTCCTCAATAGAAATGTCTACCACCGACTGTTGGGACATGCTGAAAATTGTATACTTTGATATTAACAATCACACTTAAGCATGCACCGCTGCCCCATGAAAGCCATGCCCCGGAAAACACTGACATGCTGTTAAGTTTAGCAGATTGCACCTCAAATTAAAGCAATTTACTAGCACTTAAATATTGTTCCAAACACCGAAAGCATGAATTACCAGCAGAAAGAATAATATAGCTGTTAGAATACCTAATAAACAAACCTACATTTACATTAAACTGAATGCGATGTACTTACCTTTACCTTAAATATTTCTTTAAAGACCAAGTGCGTAAGTGGGGCCACATCATTCCATCTCACACACACCGAAGGAAGTTTATTTGAAGTTATCACCAAGCACAAAATGGGTGAGACGAGATAGCAGTAAAGCGTTAATCAGCCAAAACAGGCATGTTTTTTTTTTTTTTAAATTTATAAAAACTATACTGACTTTAATTTTAACTCCAAATCTAATATATTGGAGTAACTAGGCCTTAAAAGAAGCGCTTCGTAATTAATATCAAATTTCCCCAGTAGGCAGAATCAATTCCTTCTTTAAGAAAACTTTGTGGGTTCCGAAAAAAAAAAAAAAAGACAACTCTGCTCATCAGCTGCAGCAGCTCCTTGAAGAGCCTGGAAAAGGCTCTCCCCTCACAGGATACCGGGAGAAAAAGCTTCAGCTGCTCTGAAACTACTTTGATCAGGAGCCAAAGTTGCCAGGATGGCAGCACTGTTGTGTCATATGGCCATACCAAAAACCCTCAAGAGATGCAACAACCCACAGCTTACACCCTCCCAAACTGGGCTCACCCTCAACTTACCGTACCAAACCCTAACAAATGACAAATTGGGAGTTTCTGTCCGAGGTGCAGACTTCTGAAACACGGGCTAAGCTGAAGGTCTTTGTATTTCCCAAGACACAGATTGGGTCTCTCTCCACCTGGGAGCTTTTGACAACAAATATTTTCCCTCCCACCCATGCCAGTGTCAGGCTGCAGAGCCTCAGCAGCAGGAGCTGATCCAGCTGCACCCCGTGCCCACCCCACCCCTCCCAGGGGCCCTGTGCTCAGCTGCCTCACCTCCCTGCTTTCTTGGGTCAACTGTGTGCCAGGGCACACCAAAATGGCTTCAGGCAGGGTCCTGGGTGCACCAGCGGCCGCAAGAGCACAGCTGCCCCAAGTCAGAGCAACTCGGGAAACTGCAGCCTCGGGTTCTTTGCTGTCTGGGAAGTTTGGTTTAGCAGCTCTCTCCTGGAAGGATGCGCATGTTGCACATCAGCTCTCTTTTCCAAACTGTGGTTCACGGTGACTGTCAGAGGTTATTCCTGACGTTTATTCTACCTACAAAAAGTTGGTTTTTCCATTCAGTAAACCGCTTCATGGTTACACCAAGAAAAATGTGTTAAATTCGTTATTGCCCTCCAGCCTCCCAGCAAGCAAAGTGTCCATTTCTCACCAGGGGTCCAGTGTGTGCAGACAGGTACTTGCTGCAAAGTTTTACCATTTGGATTTGAAAAGCCCGATCCCCTTCCGTGAAACACCCTGACAAACAGAAGGGCATCTGCTGGAGGGCGCTGCTCTGCACAGCTTGAGCCTGTACCGCTTGGGGCTGCCACTACTCCACCGTCACCTCTCCTGGCCACGCACGCTCCCCCAACTACTGCTTGTGCCAAAACTGCCACCTCCCTGAGCCCAGGATGAGCCAGGGCAAGGAACGAGGCCCCAGACGAGCCCCCTTTCAGGTAGGGTTTGGCCAGGTGAGCTCCTCAGCCGGCCCAGTGCAGGGTCAGCGCAAGGGAGGGAACAGGAATGTGCAGCTGGGGGCGGGGAAGCGGACGGGGGTCCCAGCAGCTCTCCCACCGGGTGCAGCTCCCTTGGCAGTTCCAGCTGTGTAAGCCTGCGAGTTTAAGCCAAGTTGATTTTTAATTATTTGGAGCCCTGGCCACACAGCCTTTAGTGTAAGGTGGCTTACTCTTGAGCTGCAGAGCTCCCTACTCAGGAGCATCCTCCTGGATACCCATGAAGAAGTTTCCCAGCATGTCTCCCAGGAACACCTTCCGAGCCTTTGCATCACTGCACTGCAACAAGCAGAGGGTCCAATTCCAGACATCTTTGAACCACACACAAGCAACAGTGACAATGAAACCTCTACAAGCGAAGCCTGATCATAAGGCATCCACTCTCATCTCAAAAAACACGGACAGGCGTGGGTAACTTTCACAGGTAACCCACAAATCTTTCCTACGGGGTCCCAAGCCAGCCTGCTGAAGCAGCGGGGAAGCACGGAGCACTCCATTTTTCAGCCTCCGTACTTATTTAAACACTTGAAGCATTTTTAAACACCCAATTCTGCTGCCACACCTGTGCCAGTACTGTTAGTGATGCCCCAGAAGTTTTATCAGGTAACTGAGCTGCACCAAAAACCACCTGGGGAAAAAAAAAAAAAAAAAAGATATCTTTTTTAAACCCTGATCAATTCCCCAATTCAGTTCACCACATGATCCTACAAATAGCTGCACCCGCACACATCAAATGGGTGTGCGGAGCAGGAATAAGAAGTGGGTGTTATTTAAATTGTCATTGCTGCTGTAGCAAACACTCAAATTACAGTTTAAGAGCAAACGACTACTGCCGTCACCACCTCGACTCGCGGAGCTTCAAGGAATCGACAACAGAAAGGCAATTTGGCATTCCCCTTGCTTTGACCCCTCAACCCAAACTCCCTGCTACTTCTGTTTGCTCAGATTTTGTCGTAGCAGCCTCCAACTTTATAAGGTTCTCACTACTGCAAGGGGTACCGTGCAAGGGGAAAGTTTTTAACACTAACCCCCCCCCCAAACCTCTCAAAAAGTAACAGTATTGCCCCCAATAACAAATTGACCAGGATTATCCAGGCAACTAACCAGGCAAATGCTAACCCGGATGAGTTAAACTCAGTACCTAGGTAAGCATCACTGTTGGAATATACTTCCACCAAGCAAACCAACCACAAAAAGCGGGTTTTTTTGGAAAGAGGTGGACAGGAAAGCTGCAAAGCAAGGCCAAGAAACTACCACTGCCCTCAAACAGGTGAATTCGAGTGTATCCAGCTGTTTACAATGCATCAAAAAAAGCAGTCACCCTCATTTAAGGTTATTTAGAATCATGGAGAAGCTGAATACAATGGGACTTATGGCAACAGGCCCAAATCTTTATCGGGAACCCAGGACTGACACGGTAACGGCACTTCAGACCCGACACGTTAGGAAATGCCGCAACCACCCGCGTGTTTCACCACGCACCTGAAACACAATTCCCTGCCTCGATGTACAAAATGCGAGAGTACCTGAAACCAGATGAGCTGCGACACGGAAATAAACCAAACCGGTGAGAGGTACAACAGGTCCCAGCCTCGTCGCACCCTGCAGCTTCCTCAGAACTGGTAAGCTTATTAAGGCTTCGCTAAGCAAAGGCTAAAGCTGAAGCAAAAGCCATGGAATGCTTCCCTGCATCCAGAGAAATCAGCAAGGCCCTGCCGAAGCGAGCCGCTGACTTCCTCCGCTCTCTGCGGTTACGTTATTACAGCAGTGCCCGGCACCTTCTCCCCCCCTTCTGAAACTCAGTTCTGGAAAGCGTATTTATCACTGGTGAGAGAGGCGCTCGTTTTTAGGACTTTGGTAAAGCAATCAATACCGAAAACAGCCATGGAGGCATCTTTAACTCTGCAACTCATGCGTCAACTGGAAGATCACCCCAGGCCAATGCACTAAACATATCACGACACACGGCCCAATTTATTAATAGTAAGTCGGATCACGGACCTCTCCTGAAGGTCTGAGCAGCCAGGGCCGATCGAGATGCTGCACGAACAGCAGCCTGATTTACAATCGGCTCCAACCACGCCGTGAGCTTATAATGGGTTGTTACTCAAACCAAAGCCGGGTTTGCATCACAGAGAGGTGTTAATAGCAAAGAATTAAATTATTGTCTAATATTTAAAATCGGGAAAAGATTGCTACATATTCAGGATGAGGAACCATTTAATTGCAAGCACAATTCTAACAGCCAGTTGGAAACGACAGGCTTTCCCGCAGAGCTAAAACTAAGAGATCTCATTATTCCTGCCATCAGGTAACAAATTCCCTGAAGAGCACAGAGCCCGATTTAACAAGGCAAAGGTGTTCTGCTTGGTGGAAGAGGTGGTTTCTCCGCACACCGAGCCCAAAGGGAAAAGCGTTGCTTCTACCAGAACCAAGGAACATCTCCCCTGTAAGGCCTCGTGCACCGGCTACAGCGAGGTCTCGGACACTCTCTCCGGTTACTGTTTCTACGCAGTTCTCCCAGGAAAAGGATTTTCCTGCAAGGAAGTCGATCGCCCACTGCTGTGGGTGACACCGCCGAACTCATGCTCTCCTCCAACACGAGTCTCGTTATGTTCTCGCTAACGCACCAGCCTTGGAAGGAAATCGATGTTGATACTTGGTGTTTAAGTCGTGCAGCAGAAGTAGTTTGCCCATATGTTTTTTTCAAGGGGAAAAGGCTGAATAAATGAAGACATAATACCAGGCATCCCGGGTGGCTTCCACGATGATGTCATTTTTTTTAAATAGCTTATTTCTTATAGGTCTCCTTTGAAATGGAGGTTACCCGTGTCAATTCTGAACTAAGCGTGTGAAACCAAGTTATAAATATGTTCTGCAGCAATTACTAGAAGAGGTCTCAAGCGCTACACGCATGTGTGCGATTAAAACATCGCTCCCGAGTCAGCATGGCTTCACGCAGCGGCTAAACCAGAGATGAACAATCGGCATGGAAGAAGATTTCTCCAAGCAAGTAGGTTCTGAAAGCTTGGGGAAAAGATTGTTTTGACCAGTTCAGCTGAACACAGGTAGGGGAACTTATCTCTCTTTTTCTGTTAAATTTAAGGCAGAGTCAACCAAGACCTGTATGTACTGCAAAGACCCTTACAGCGACACTGGAATGCACGTCCACCACGGAGAAACAGCTTCTGTTAGAGGACATATCAGTGAAGCTTAAATTTACAGTGCCCCACAGTAAAGTATTATAAAGAACCATATCCTCCTCCTCAACCTCACAGAACTGGACTGGTTTTTGCACCCCTGACAATATTAGTGCCACTTTCGCCCTCCCCCGAAACACGCACATACACACACGGACAATTATCTTGAAATGCCTGAATGAAATCCAGGCCTCAAAGCTTGACTTTCCTTGGTAAACAAGGAAGTCAATCACAAGGATGAACGCTGTGAGTTTGAGTGCAACCACTTCTTTTAGGAGAAGCCTCCAAGAGCCAGAGGAAAGTAGCCAGAGTTTTCTGTGAGCGCCCGCAAGCACGGCAGCTCGTAGCTGTGTTGACTTCTTCCTGCGGGAAAGCATCAGAACAGTTTCTTAAGACTTTTACGCTGGTGCCCAAGTGAGATTAAATTCTGAATCTGCCTTTAAGCATGTTCAAAATGTGAGTTTTAATTCCCTTCAGGAAAATGCCATGACAGGTAGTTCTACTGAGTGTT